TAAAAAAAAAACGTGTAAGAAAAAACCGCGTAAAAAGCGATATACCGCGTCAATTCTGAAATCCGCGTAAAAAAAAACCAAAATCCGCGTAAAAAAAACCGCGTAAATTCCGGAATCCGCGTAAAAAAACCGCGTAAATTCCGAAATCCGCGTAAAAAAAAACTGCGTAAAAAAAACCGTGTAAAAAAAAAACCGCGTAAAAAGCGACTCCAGTGTAGTTTGACGGCAGTGGCATTTCAATAGCGATTTACGGGGTAACCTATTTCATCAAGCGGAATATTATTTGGCAGAATATCCCATTTCGCGTAATGTCCTATCTTGCAGAAATTTTATCCTTATACCGCAAAATAGGATTCTGCAAATCGGAATTGCGCCAAAGAGAACTTCGCGAAATAATTCTTTTCGCAAACATACGACTCCGAGTAAATTTTTCAATTTGTTGATTTTTTTCACACTATAGAGTTTTATAATTTGATTTATACTGATACATGTGCCCTGATTCATCTATTCTTTTTGCAAGCAATGAATAAATTATAAGTTTTTTTTTTTCAGAAATGAGCGCTGGTATCAGTGCACAGTGGTACAGAGTGCAGATTTAGGTGTAATGATATGTTTTGAGCCTGAAATTGAAACTTTAGACTAAAAGTCTCTTCTACAAAGTTGTTCCTTATAGTTAGGCCCTCATTTTTATGGCAATGAATTCTAGGGTGGTTCTTATTATCAATCAAATCAAAAATCTAACTTTTTTGTTTGAATAAATTAAGGTATACATTCTTCGGCAAAGTTATAGCTGAGCTAATTTTAAGCAACTTTGTTGGAAATAACTTTTTTGTATCTCTTGGCCGATATAGAGCTATTTTCTTGAATTGAGTAAGGGTGGCTCTTAAAAAAACAGTTTTTTGCTCTATTTATCTTATTTCGAATTTCTCAGCAAAGGAGTCTTGAGATAACTTTTAGATCTAAAAAAAGCGCAAATTTTTAATGCACAAAACTTGTCAATATCTTTCGCCGATCAAGAGTTATTGACGTTTGTATACTAAAAATATGCACTTTTCAAATGTTCATATCTTTGGTTGGGGCAAACAAAAAAAAAGTTTTTTTGCAGCATTTGAAAGGGCGTATGTTATTCTCAATAATATGAAAAAAATAAAGGTATGTTATTTTTTAAACTCGTATAAAATCAATTTGAATTTATACATATTTTTTACTATATTTGAGTACATCTTTTTTATTAGAAGAGATACAGGCAACAAATTAAGCTATAAAACATTTGTCTTAAAGAGTTTTAAAAGTCTCTAGAATATAATTTACATGAGAATTTTCAAATAAAAAAGTTATTGCTAAAAATCTATTTTTTCCAGGAACACCCTAAGTCAACTCCGAAAAATCACTCTGAAATGAGAACGTTAAGAGATAGAAAAAAAATTTTCTCGACAAAGTTGCTTGCAAGTAACTTAACTACAACTTTTTTGAACAACACATGTTTATATTTTGTAAAACAAAAAAGTTAGTTTTAAAAATTTCCTAATTTGAGGACCACCCTGACGTTTGCAAACACCAAAAGAAGGGAATTTTTAAGAACAAAAACTTCTTCCAAGACACTAAATGTTCAAATATTGAAATAAATGTATTAGCACATTTTATATAAATTTGTCATTAGAGTGGTCCTATGAAATCCATCTTTTTTATTTGAAATTTATCATGAAAGTCATCTTCTAGAGACTTTTGAAACTCTTTAAGACGAATGTTTTATAGCTGAATTTGTTGCCTGTATCTCTTCTAATAAAAAAGATATACTCAAATATAGTAAAAAATATGAATAAATTCAAATTGATTTTATACGAGTTTTAAAAATAACATACCTCCAATTTTTTTCATATTATTGAGAATAACATACGCTCTTTCAAATGCTGCAAAAAAACTTTTTTTTTGTTTGCGCCCAACAGAGATATTAACATTTTAAAAGTGCATACTTTTAGTATAAAAACGTCAATAACTCTTGATCGGCGAAAGATATTGACAAGCTTTGGGCATTAAAAATTTGCGCCTTTTTAAGATCTAAAAGTTATCTGTAGGCATCTTTGCTGAGAAATTCGAAATAAGATAAATAGAGCAAAAAAACTGTATTTTTAAGAGCCACCCTAACTCAATTCAAGAAAATAGCTCTAAATCGGCCAATTTAAGAGATACAAAAAAGTTATTTTCTACAAAGTTGCTTGAAATTAGCTCAGCTATAACTTTGCCGAAAAATGTATACCTTAATTTATTCAAACAAAAAAGTTAGATATTTGATTTTAATGATAATAAGAACCACCCTAGAATTCATTGTCATAAAAATAAGGGCCTAACTTTAAAAAACAACTTTGTAGAAGAGACTTTTAGTCTAAAGTTCCAATTTCAGGCTCAAAACATATCATTACACCTAAATCTGCATTCTGGACCACTGTGCAGTGGACTAAAAATGCTTCGCACTAATGGCATGGTTCCTCTGTCGAAGAGCATTACCGCAATAATATACTGGTTAGCATTGACTGACGGGGTATGCTTTAATTTCATCATTTGCTTGTATTAAGTATCGATAAGTCTTAGTTATGTAAATAAGATTTAAGTCTGTCAGGTTTCCGACTAGAGTTACTTTGGCAGTGGCAGTGTCCATGATGTCTTATTGGCTAAACATCGATTTCAGTGACAAGGATTCTTCGTTCACTGTGTTTCATGACTTTGACTATTCGGTCAGCGACAACTTCAACCCCAGTTCCTGTTATGTTAAGTACTATCCACACACTAAGTTTTTTTTCTACCGAGCTCGGCTGAGCAAATCTCGGCAGGCCATTACCACTTATACCTGTATAACCTCTAGTGCTACATGCATTCCACAACCAAGTCACTGGTATCACATGTTGTTCAACATTGAATTTATGAAGTTCTTGTAAATGTAAGAAGATTAATTACAGATTATCGAAAAAAAAAGTTAATTAAAATTTGTTGCATAACATTTTTTTGAAACATTCACACACCGGAAGCCACCATTTTGGATTCCAAAATTGCGTGAATCATCGATTTTTGGCCTGTACACGTCGTTCCCGTTCCGAAAATATCCATATTGTTGGCTATTTGACAGTTTTTCACAAAACCGGAAGCCGCCATCTTGGATTCCAAAATGGCATGAATCATCGATTTCCGGCCTCTACGCGTCGTTCCCGTTCCAAACATATCCATATTGTTGGCTATTTGACAGTTTTTCACAAAACCGGAAGCCGCCATCTTGGATTCCAAAATGGCATGAATCATCGATTTCCGGCCTCTACGCGTCGTTCCCGTTCCAAAAATATCCATATGGTTGGCTATTTGACAGTTTTTCACAAAACCGGAAGCCGCCATCTTGGATTCCAAAATGGCATGAATCATCGATTTCCGGCCTCTACGCGTCGTTCCCGTTCCGAAAATATCCATATCGTTGGCTATTTGACAGTTTTTCACAAAACCGGAAGCCGCCATCTTGAATTCCAAAATGGCATGAATCATCGATTTCTGGCCTCTGCATGTCATCTCGGTTCCAAAAATATCCTTATTGTTGGCTATTTGACAGTTTTTCACAAAACCGGAAACCGCCATTTTGGATTCCAAAATGGCATGAATCATCGATTTCCAGCCTCTGGATGTCGTCTCGGTTCCTAAAATATCCATATTGTTGGTTATTTGACAGTTTTTCACAAAACCGGAAGCCGCCATCTTGAATTCCAAAATGGCATGAATCATCGATTTCCGGCCTCTGGATGTCGTCTTGGTTCCGAAAATATCCATATTTTTGGCTATTTGACAGTTTTTCACAAAACCGGAAGCCGCCATCTTGAATTCAAAAATGGCATGAATGATCGATTTCCGGCCTCTACGCGTCGTTCCCGTTCCGAAAATATCCATATTGTTGGCTATTTGACAGTTTTTCACAAAACCGGAAGCCGCCATCTTGGATTCCAAAATGGCATGAATCATCGATTTCCGGCCTCTACGCGTCGTTCCCGTTCCAAAAATATCCATATTGTTGGCTATTTGACAGTTTTTCACAAAACCGGAAGCCGCCATCTTGGATTCCAAAATGGCATGAATCATCGATTTCCGGCCTCTACGCGTCGTTCCCGTTCCAAAAATATCCATATGGTTGGCTATTTGACAGTTTTTCACAAAACCGGAAGCCGCCATCTTGGATTCCAAAATGGCATGAATCATCGATTTCCGGCCTCTACGCGTCGTTCCCGTTCCAAAAATATCCATATGGTTGGCTATTTGACAGTTTTTCACAAAACCGGAAGCCGCCATCTTGGATTCCAAAATGGCATGAATCATCGATTTCCGGCCTCTACACGTCGTTCCCGTTCCGAAAATATGTATGTACTCATGTTGTCCGGTGAATCCACTAGATGTACACTTCCAAGTTTGTTTTTTTGGCTAAGTCCATTCCTCAGAAAACACTTAGAATGTTTTGGCTCTTTAACCGCGTTATTTCAAAAAACCGTGTAAAAAAAACCGCGTTATTTCAAAAAACCGCGTAAAAAAAAACCGCGTTATTTCGAAAATCGTCGTAAAAAAAACCGTGTAAAAAAAAACCGCGTAAAAAAAAACCGTGTAAAAAAAGACTTCAGTGTATTTTCTCAAGCACAATTCTCCCCATAGGATGGCCGAATGCCCCTTGGAGGGTTGAAAACCACTCTTGTATGCGATACGATCATTTTATTAATGTAAATAATATACACACGTCGAGCTCAAGGCTAAAAGTTTCTTTAATAAAGAAAAAAAAAATCCACACGTAGATAAATGCATTTCCGTATTCAGCTTTGTAACGCAGTTGACCTATATAGACATACCGCTGTGGAGCTATCTGATTCAAGCTATGAATTAGGTACAAAAGGTATAATGATAAATGCTCTCTTGGCAAGCATTTTGCGATAAGCGAACAACAAAATCCGATAATATAAAAATCTCCATGTTTAATAAAGGAATCAGTGTATTTTAAAGGTTTGTAGATTAATATACAAAACCTATTAAGAATGATACTTCAGATCATTTGGCTCACGGTGGTTTTGCTTGCAATTGATGGTTAGTTATTATAAATGTATTATTTTTTACAACTAAAATAATTAAAATTAAATCAACAGCTGCTCCACGCAACCATAAAATCGTCAACGGAACGGATGCATCCATAAAGGATTACCCATTTATGATTTCATTGCGTAATTCACACGGGGGACATACCTGTGGTGGAAGTATACTGACAAATCATTGGATTCTCACCGCAGCCCATTGCGTGCACGAAACTATGACTCCGGATCTTTCAACGGTTCAAGTCGGCCAAACGGAGATATCCAGACCAGTAGACGAAACCGTTTACGATATTGAACTAGTTGTCATACATCCTGGATATGATCCGTTCAACAGTTTCGTGAATGATATTGCAGTGTTCAAGTTGAAACGTCCTTTACTGTTTGGGGAATCAGTTCAACCAGTTCATCTGCCTCGACCATGCTTTGAGGTACCGGAATCGGTTCCAGCAGTTACACTGATTGGGTGGGGCTTAAATGAAGATGAAGTTGCTCCAACCATACTGCAACGGGTGGATTATTACGTTGTACCGAATACAGTGTGCGATCAAATTCATGACAGTACCATTTTCCCGGAACAAATCTGTGCAGCCTATCCGGGTGGCGGGAAAGGACAGTGCAATGTAAGTTATTGGCTGTGAGGCAACTAACTATTCATCTATTTAACGTTTTACGTTTAAGGGTGATTCTGGAGGCCCACTGCTACACAATGGTGTTCAAGTAGGAATCGTCTCGTGGAGTATTAAACCTTGCACTATTGCACCGTATCCTGGTATTCTGACCAAAGTATCACATTTCATCGATTTTATTTATCAACACACTGATTTTGTTACGCCATATGTTCACGTTCCAGAATGTTCTTAAATTGAAATTTGAATAAAATATCTCCTTCTTATACTAAAAAATCGACTTTTTCTTATTTTCTGAACGAGACATAAAAACCGGGGTTAGACAAAACAAGGTGCTCCCTCCCATCAGCTAGATGCATGGAAAAGTATCCATTGCTCCAAAAAGCAGTCAGTTCTCAGGTGTATGTATCCTTTTTATGGGCAAATATTTTAACCTACATATAACTAACTGTTATCCACAAACATAAAAGTGGATATGTGCACTTTTTCGAGAGATGTTGCTTTCACACTGAAAACGAATCTTACTCAGAGAGTGAGTAACTTTTACTCATTCGTATGAATAAATTTCTTACTACGCTTTTAGAAATATCTCCATAACATTGAGTAAAAGTTACTCATAACTGAGTAAAAGTAGCTCACTCTCTGGGTTAGTTTCGATTGCAGTGTGCACATATCCAGTTTTATGTTTGTGGATAATCGTTATTTATATGTAGGTTGAAAGATTTGCCCATAATGCACCTAAGAACTGAGTACATTTTGGGGAGATGGATACTTTTGCATGGGTACAAAATTTACTTATAGTTAGTAGTGACTCGATTCTAGCGTGCAAATAAACACAAAAGCGGAAGCTAAGGAACGTTTACCCTAATCTGAGAAGCGTTTACTAAGTTCTTAAGTATAGTTTTTGCTTGTTTGTTCCCAAACTGAGGGAAAGTTAATTCAATTTGTAGTTGGGCTCTATGGCCGTGTACGATGCCTAATTACTTCGGTGAATCTTTATTTGCAGTTTATCTACATAGCGAAGCTTTATCCATGAAAAGACGGGTTTATTTATTTTTACATAGATAGCGCTGGGGCAAAGCTTTAAATCGCAAAATGCGCATGCGCACGTCTTATCAAGACACAGTAAAAGTTTGGCGTGATATTTCACCGCTTGACCAAATATGTTATCTACAGGGCCGATAAGACTAACTCAGAGAGAGCGTCACTTCAACTCAGATGAAAGAGAAATTTCCTAGCCTAGGTTACCTAGAGCTGAGTTTTTTTTTTTCATTTTAGCAGAAGTGACCCTCGCTCTCTAAATTAATTTCATTGGCCATGATCTGTTATTTTTTAAATCCATTTATTTGTCAAGACTCAATTGCGTAAGCGTCGCAGAGCCGTAGAACAAGATTTCTTATGACATGATTTTCCGACTACGAGTTTCGGCTTTGCAGTCTGGCGAGTGGCAAGTTCAAACGTATAGCCTTTTTAATGCACCACCAATGTAGAGTGCGCCAGCCGAGTTCGATAGAATACGTCAACCAAACCGTTTGTTTACATCTTGCCAATTTCCATCAGTAATTTTCTCATTTTACGATTTTTCATAGATCTGAACTGATTTGTACCTAAACTATTCACACATAAGATATCGGGAAGATCAGAACCACTAAGGCACTATTCTAATTTTCCATTTTTCTCAACAAACATATTCCTGAACACCAGCAGAATTCATGCAAAAATGATACAGAACCAAATTTTTCAACTGTAGATCAAGTTTTGGAGCTTCTCAGATGAGTCAATTTATCAGCAAAAGTAAAAAAGTGTTCCGCTTCCTATGTTTTAAGGCAAGCAAAATATTCAGCAAAATACTTGACGTTCTCCTATTCACCATCAAAGTTTGATACGATCGCTTGGTTTATATTTTAAAAATGCGTATACTGACAGTTATAGCAACCGGTCCGCACTAATGTTTATTTCATTTACCATGGCGACGTAATTTGTGATAAGCCCCGGTCCCTTTCAAATTGTATCATTATTTATGTACGGCCTTTAATTTGAAATGACGTTTCACCTTCATCTAGTGATGGCCGATTTTCATTCGAATAATCGATTAATCGATTAACGAACCGACAAGTAAAATATTTGTAATCGGTTACATCATGCTGATATAAGCATTAACTTCCCCAGAGGATCATCACCCATCGTTTCAAACATATGCTGCACTCTCATTGGTGGAAAAATGACAGCACAGTGAACAAAAAATAATCGATTAGATGTTAATCGAATAATTTAAAAAATGAGACATCTCTGATTTTGGTGTGATTGTTTTGATAACAAAGAGCGCAAAATTTCATATCTACCTAGGGGGCAGCACAACCACAAAATTACCTTGCATACGGGGGTATTCATTTGATGAAAGGGACCTTGAAAGAGGACACTAAAATTAAAAGTTTTTCTTCCAACTGTTTCATCTTAGTATTCTTCTTTGGTTATAGCGAGAAACGATTTAATCAAATAACATCCACAACCAAAATCGAAAAAAAAACAGATGGGACAACCCAAGCGAATCACTCAGGTTCTATTAAAAAGGCGTATCCTTTTCTAATTTTTTTGCCGACACTTCAACTAAGAGAACTTCCTTGAAGTATGGAAGCCTCTAGTAGTTGTGGTTTTTGAGATATTTAAATTTAAAAAAAAATAAGACAGGTGCGAAAAGTTCTCGGAGTTCAATATTTGTCTTCAAGTGTGGCAATTCGGGAATAGCTCTCAACCGACTGCGCGTAATGGAGTTAGAGCAACCGGTGAACACTCGTGTTTATTTCAGTTACCGTGGGTACGTAATTTGTGATTAGCCCCAGTCGCTTTCAAATTGCATCATTATTTATGTACGGTCCTTATATTTGAAATGAAGTTTCACCTTCATCTAGTGATGTCCGATTTTCATTCGAATAATCGATTAATCGATTAACGAACCGAAAAGTAAAACATTTGTAATCGGTTATATCATGCCGATATAAGCATTAACTTCTCCAAAGGATCATCACCCATTGTTTCAAACATGTGCTGCACTCTCATTGGTGGAAAAATGACAGCGCAGCGAATAAAAAATAATCGATTAGTTATTAATCGAGTAATTAAAAAATGGAACATCTCTGATTTTGGTGTGATTGTTTTGATAGAAAAAAAGGCGCAAAATTTCATCTCTACCGAGGAGCAGCAAAACCACCAAATTACCCTGCATACGGGGACACATATTAATTGGATGAAAGGGATCGTGAAAGAGGCCACTAAAATAGAAAGTTTTTCTTCCTACAGTTTCATCTTATTATTCTTCTTTGGTTAGAGGCAGTGATGCCACATTTTTTCGAATATCAATCTGTATTTTAATCGAAAAAATCTGTTTAATCTGCATCTGACTGACAAAAATCTGCATAATTTCTTTATTATGGTCTCAGTGTGGATTTTCGTAGATTTCCATTGAGTTCATTCATAGTTCAGAAGGATTTTGTTCAAAGTTTAGAATCTTGAAAAATTACTACAGATGGCTTTCTAAAGAATTTGTCTAATTTGGTGGAAGGCCTCAGAGAAATGCAGCAAAGAAAGCTGTTCCCAATAATCCAGCAATGACACACCCAGAAGTTAAGAAAGAAGCTCGCCGGTTGGCAGATGAATTGGAAGCTCATTTAACAATAAACGTTAATCGTGGGAGTGGATGTTCGAATAACGGCAACATGTCGAAGAGACTACTTGCCCAACCGGCGAAGTTTGCCGAGATTCTTAAAGTTAACGTGGATTTGATTAGCAATAATCGCCTCATCAGCTGGAACTTCAATAAAATCAAAGAGTTGTATGCTGTCATTGAGCAACAATATCGGACTGAATTTTCATTTGTAAGACACCTCCCTTCTTGTCTACACATCTACTGGAGCAGATTGAGCGTTTAATAGTTTTTAATATACATCTTTTATTTCAGAATGTGCCATGCTTAAAAAATTCTCATTTATAGCCGTTCACAGTGAATTTCGTTGACGAGCAGCCAGGAAAAACAAGTTACAAGCGTCACAAGTTTGCACGGCTGCACTTTGCACGGAAAACTTCTGCTGAGGGCAATCTTACCGACATGATGAGAGAAACTTTAACTTGGTCCGATTCCAAGATGTCGTACATGTCGGTAAAATCATGCAGAAAAAAAACTCTGTAAGCAGGATCAGGACATCGAAGCAGAGATGCTGAAATTTTGTGTATCTGACTATCTGGAACATGAAGAAAATTGCGAAGATAGTGAAAGTGATCAAAGTGATGACAATGATGAAGAATGGAGTGACAGCGAGGATGAAGATTGCTGAGCTGGTAGAAGTGGTTACATGATCAATTTCCTAATACACATTTTTTGTACTGCTCCGAAAAGGCCCAAATCTCGTGCAACACGAGAAAAAAGGCTATCATTGTTGATAGATTCTCTACATCGATTTTCTCTTTCGCGAATAAACCGACTGCAAATGAATTTCCCAATCGGTGTGTTCATCATAACATCATCTTCTGTCGAACGGTGCTTCGAGCTTAGCGAGAAATTCGTTTATGGTGCCGTGGTAAACCTAGCCCTGGTCCTCACAAGTTCCTACTTCACGCCTCCTCGAGTCATATGATAACAAAAGACTACCAGCTGAAACATGGACACAGCTGGGTGGCGTAGCCTGGGCAATGTTGCCAGTCCGGCAATAGCAAAGTGAAGAGGTGCGACGCGAACACTGGCGCGGTAACCATAGTATAGTGATAGAGGAAATGCGTCACCAAACCTGAGCGTCTGTTCATCATGGAGGTGCGGCTCAAAACGGTGTCTGTTCTCCATGTTAGGAGCGGCTGATCACCGTCCTAGTGCCAGCGTGGGACTCTAAACAGAGCTGTGCACGATGGTCCCCCGGCGAGACAGGGGGTTGGGGCAGGCCCAACAAGCCGCCCTGGAATAAAAAAAACACAGTTGCAAATACTGAAGAAAGAAATACGGATCAGAACAATCGGCACAGACCTACGCGACGAAATAAGGACTACGATTGGAAACTCGGAACATGGAACTGCAAATCGCTCGGCTTCCCGTGTTGCGATAGGTTAATCTATGACGAACTTCAACCACGCAACTTCGAAGTCGTAGCACTGCAGGAACTTTGCTGGACGGGACAAAAGGTATGGAAAAGCGGGCATCGAGCGGCTACTTTCTACCAGAGCTGTGGCACCACCAACGAGCTGGGAACCGGC